TGCCTCAGCCAGTATCGGAATCCTCGGCGTCGACATATCGAGTGACGTGCAGTTTCGTGGTCTCTTGGAAGGGAAGGCCAAATTGGCCTCTAAAAAAGCTTGGCGTGCTCAGCAGAGCGGGACAGTATTTCATGCCGGCACACCGCCTGCAACTTTACAAGGCGCAGGTTCGGCCGCACATGGAATACTGTTCCCATCTCTGGGCTGGGGCTCCCCAGTACCAGCTCCTTCCACTTGACCGCATCCAGCGCAGAGCAGCTCGAATCGTCGACGACCGAGTGCTTTCCGATCGGCTCGATTCACTGGCGCTGCGAAGAGATGTTGCATCTCTTTGCGTATTTTATCGTATCTATCACGGGAAGTGCTCTGAGGAATTGTTCGGATTAATCCCAGCCGCCAAATTTCGTGAACGCACTACACGGCAAACGTCCCGATACCATCCACACCATCTGGATGCTTGGCGGTCCACCACTGTACGTTTCACAAGGAGTTTTCTTCCACCTACAACCTCTCTGTGGAATAGTTTACCACCGGCGATTTTTCCGGACCGATACGACCTGGGGACCTTCAAGAAAAGAGCTTACTCCTTTCTAAAGGGCCGGCAACGCACCCGCAATTCCCCTGGTGTTGCGGTTGATCATGGGCGGCGGTAATCACTTAACATCAGGTGAGCCGCATGCTCGTTTGCCCCTTCTTCTATAAAAAAAGCTGTATATTAAAAATATTTTTTGATTTTTACGAAAACATTCCATAATTCGAACATCTTCTTGCAACAATTAGCTCGAATTACGGAGATTGCACTGTAATTATAATACTGATTGCTAAAACTTTCAAAAAGAAACTATTGAGGAGTACTCGTGTAATTTTGCATGATTGAATATTAAACTACTAATAACTAAAGTCATGATTGGCGTAATTTGTCTATCTTTTCTAACTACGAGTACAAAACTAAAATTTAATAAAAAATAATGTACTTACTTTTCTCCGCACTCTCAAACAAAATAACACTGACTCACTATAATTTGTGTGATATACTATCTGTTTATATTTTTTAAAATATTTTCTTTGTACTTTCCTTTTAAAGATTCTGGAAACGAATAAACGTATTTGTCCCACATTCGTATTTATAGAGTGACGAATTGAACAAGTCAGTGCAAGGTAGCGAAGCTCTGAGACTGCGACGCTCAGGTTTTTACAAGTTCAAAATGTATTGCGACCACAAAGCGAATACCAACATCCTACAACTTACACAATTTTATAAACATATGTAATAAATTTTTTACTTCATAGGTACTTTTTATGTACAGTGAATTTCGGTTATAACGACGGCGGAGGGACCACTTTAATGTCGTCGCTATATCCGGAGGTCTCTATATCCGAAATAATAAAAAGTCATGTACATATTTACTTATCATTTATTTAATTATGTTATACACGGGTGTTTTGTGATTTTTCTTTATTTTCAGGGATTTTGATTCAAAACACTCCATAATTTTAGCGCGGTTTTTCCACATCGTTGATATTGTAGAATGTGAAACTCCAAATTGTTTACAGAGATCAGCATTGTTTTCTCCATTTTGCAGTCTCGAAATGATGTCCACTTTTTCTTTAACAGTAAATGTACGTCTAGGAGCCATATTCACAAGTTTAAGAAACACTGTTCACTCACTAGAATTTCTATGTAACTGATTCACAAGTTTAACTTCATAAAAATGCTACGTAGTCCTACATACAAACAAAGCATTAGTTTGACCATCTGTGAATGTAAACAAAGGATAAGAAAGCTTAATAGTTTTATGAATGAGTATTTGTGCCTTTGCCGATTCAGTCGCAATATCCGCAAGGGATTTCTAGGAATCGGTCATAAATGGTTCATAAAAACAAGTCGCTATACCCGTAATTGACGCTATAACCGAAGTCGCTATTACCGAATGAATTTCTTACGAAAGTATGCTTTAAATTCAAGGGACGTAAGTTTGACGTCGCTATACGTTACAACCGAGGTCGTTATTAATGAAATCCACTGTATATGTTTTGATATTATAAGATAGCATGATGTAAGTAAATAGGTACGTACTATCAGTGTATGTGTTGAGATCCACTATCGTGGACCCCCATTTTCATTTCATGGACCCCCAAATTTATTTTTCGCTGACGTAGACCCCTTGCAGGTTGCCTTGGGAATCACTGCTTTAGTGCATCAAAGTTTTCTTGACGACCGGCGGAAGTATTAGGTAAGTGTAATAGGTAAGGTACCTAATTAAGTATTCACGTGGAAGTATTCCACCTCAGTCTCTGACGCTTAAAAAGGAACAGGCCATTGACCCTATGAAGCACTCAAAATATTATTTCGTAAAAGAAGTTTAAGGTATATAATAAATGTAGATCAAGAAGATAGATGTGAAGTGATGCCGAAACTAACAGCGCTGCTATAGCAGCATTTTGCTGAGTGGGATATTTGATGTTTAATTTTAATTGGTTTGTTTTATTATTAACTAGCGATCTGCCCCGGGTTCGCACAGGTGATATCTGACCTCTACATCAGCGCCACCCACTGAGTCCAGCATGTCTTTGACCTTCGGGTAAGTGTAAGCAACAATTTGACAAAGTTTTAGCACAATCTGGTAAACGGCAGGGCATAAATTTAAAAAAAGCAAATATTATTTTTATATATAAGAATAATTACGCATGGCTTTACGTGGTAGAGCCACGCTGCAGCTATATTATGATTGTAGCACGAACGGGTCGGCTCGACCGGGGAAGTATCACGCTCTCACAGAATACCGGCGTAAAATAGCATAGCTCAAGGCTGCTATGTTTCGTAAAGTGAGTGCAGAGAACCGGAGACCCTTTTTACTGAAAACGAGGCATTCCTTCTTAATCCTCAGGGTTGCCAACGCATCTGTATTTTGATTCTTAATCGAGGATTGATGTAGATGTCTATGGGTCACAGCATCCAATTACCATCAGACCATTAGGTGGACTGTGTGCTCGTTTGTCACCCTTATTTTATTAAACAAAATATTTACTGCTTCTCATTTGCTAAGCGTAAGCAGTCTAAGACAGACGCGTGCATATTTTTGCCCCTTGCGTTTGTAGGTATATTGTTTTTAAGAGTATGTGTCAAATAAACACTTGTTTCTTTTTTAACAGCCCGTAAAAGTTCACTTCTAGACGGTTACATATCACACTAACCTTTTTTTTACATGGGGAAATGCCTACGCATACCCGCCTCGCGGGGGCAAGAACGGGTTATATCGGACTCGCACCGACTAAAACACCATGGTGTTCCACCGTCCGACGCATATTGGCAGGGCCACGGGAACGTTTTCCCACCAGCGCCGGCCGCCCCATGGCGCCACCTCCTCGGGAGAGGAATATTCCTCTCCGTTCTCCCACCCAAGTAAGGCGCACCAGAACACATGGCGCACCTTCCTCCACGGCATCCAACCAAACTTGCACAACGGATGCCGAAGGCCATGGGCTAGGAAAAACGAGTACTCAGAAGTACTAGCCCTCCCGACCCCAGCGGCGGATCTGGTCTATGGCTCCGCCGCCGACCAAGATTCGGCTGCGGAGGGTAGGGAGAGCGGCGCCTCGCAATACCGACACTCCTCTCCTCCCGCAGCCCCACCACCACCGCATAAACGGTGCGGACCCGTTTCAGTCGCGAAGGATAGGGCGAGTGGCGCATCGCCATACCAACACTCCTCTTCCTCCGCGACTCCACCTCGGCTGCAGCGGTAGGGGGTGAGGACACCCCCTCTTGCCGCAGTCCACCTGCACACATCCGAAGTGGGCTCGCCAGGCCCACTAGGAGTGGCCACCTCGGGCCGGCCCTTCACCTTGGGCCACCCATGTGGGTTCCTCATTGTTCACCGCGGGTGACCAAGCCACGGCTACTAAGCCACCTCTCCCCCCCCGCCACGACAAGGCGGGATCCGGTTCGAGGGGGACACTAACCTAACCTCACCTAACCTAAAACCGTGCTGTTGGCTGCATATGCACTTACGAGTACCTACTAAAAGAACATATACTTATTCAAATATCAAAATCTACGCGATCTCTCTGGAACGGCGTAGTATTGACGCACCCTATAATATTCTTTCTGTGTGCGTGACTGTACGAACGCAAAGCTAGTTAGTTGCAAGAATAATTTTTATATGTACTGTTGAAATTAAAAGAATAAAATAATTTGCACATAATAGCTTATGAGGTCGGTGCTAGGACATAGTTACAATATCAGCAGCTCTTATGGGGAAATTCTTTTTCTTTTAGTAAATTGAAGTTGGCGTTACTTATAGATATCGTTTGAAATACTTGTATTGTGTTTCATAATTCAAACGCAATTCATCAAACTAACAATTTCATTGGTGTTGGCGGGGATCGAACCCGGGTTGCTCGCGTACTCTGAATTTACAATTTATAGAGTCTCATCACAATCTTCTAAAGCATTTTGTTTATTGCGGGATGAAACCATTACCATACTACTATCTAAGAACGCTGCCTAATTACTTGGATGTAATTTATATGTATAGCGACGGCTATCCTGGACAGAATTGCAATATTTATGTTGCTATTATGATCACTTATCTTATGGAATAAACTCTAATAACTCTCCAAGTATTATATACCACAAGTTTTTAGAACCTGGTCATACCCATATGGAAGCAGACAGTATACATGCTGCTATAGAAAAGGCCAAAAAAACGGCAATGAAAATATAATTACCAAACGACTGGGCAAATTTGATTAGAACAGTACACAGGGATCGAGGAATAAATGTTATAGAAATATAACAGTCTTCTTTCTTCAACTTCAAAAAACTGCCTGCAACAAATTACGTACACAGAAAGATTTCGCGATCATAGGAGGAGGTAAATTGGAATAAAGTAAAATGGATCCAAATGAGAAAAGAAAATCCAGGCATAATTGTCTACAAATACTCATTCGAAGATAACGAGGAATTCAAAATACTCAATTTAATACGAACACGAAACATGCCATGGTCACAATTGCTATTAGAAGATACTGCACCAGTTCCAACTCTTCTACCCCTAAATAACAAACAAATAACCCTCCCTGTAGCCAAAGTAAGAAACCTTCTATCACTTCTTGAGTACCTTCAACTACGAAGCCGTCCTTTTCTATCTTTCCCTGGATTCTGGCCCCGAAGTAGAGGATGGCTTGTCCTGTTCAGATGATGAAACAGATTAAATTTCCTAAGAAAATGACATTGCCTTTTTAATTTTGTACTCAATTAGAAACTAACATATAAATAATTGTCAGTGCTAAATGGACTTAAGTAATTATTTTCAAAAATAGAAAATTTTTCTCAATTTTGAACATAGCTCATAAATCAACACATAAATATAAATCAAAACACAGTACCTACGACATTTTACCTTATTACAATATAACGTGCAAATAATAATTATTACTGATGGAACATTGTTTAAATGCTCATTACCCTAACTGTCATTAGTAGATATTGGCCCTTTTAGCACCACAACACACTATATAATATTGCAAATACATAATCATATTAAACAAAAAAATGTTTCATACAAACATCAAATATCAACTGAGTCGTCGGGTAATAAATTATTGAAATAAATCATTCAGTCGTAAAAAAAGTTCTTTTCAAGTCCGTTTCCTGGAGGTCTTCTGGACGCTTCACGCATTTAATTCAGTTTTCCCTGATAACGTTTTCTATTGCTTTATGCAGGAGACCTTCAACATCGGCTATTTTAAAAGCATCGTTTTGCGCTGCAATTTCTTCTTTTACCTTAGCCCATATGAGCTCAATAGAATTATATTAATAATTAATTTTCAACGTGGTAGTGCCATGTTGCTGCTATATTAATAGTATAAATGTAGCACGAATGGATCGGCTCGACCGGGGTGGGACCACGCTCTCACAGCGTAAAATAGCAGCTTAACGCTGCTGTTTCACACTGTGTTCATTTGCCAGCTGATCTATTAAATATTTTTTCCGCTACCTTTCTTAGACCTACTCTCTTCATTTTTTCGTTACAGTTATTACAATTACATTACTTGAGAATATACCTTCATATATTTTTCGTAATCGAGGATGGATGAAGATGTGTGCGCGTTTGTTACCCTATCCTATAGTATATATATATATATATATATATATATATATATATATATATATATATATATATATATATATATAATATGTATATTTATGAGAAATAGAAATGTAGAAATGAAAAAATGTACAGAGGTCCTTACCTTGTTACTTTATTATAACATAAAGAAGAAAGGTAAAAATAATTTTTTTTAAATTATTTATAAAACTTAAAAACCGGTTAGCTTTATCCGCCGCGATACGGCGGACTCAGGTATGTAAAAATAATTTTTTTTAAATTATTTATAAAACTTAAAAACCGGTTAGCTTTGTCCGCCGCGATACGGCGGACTCATTATAGCGAGTGGCGCACACCGCACCACCGCACAGCGGTGGCACATTCCTATTGTTATTGAGATTATGATCCGACGACTCAGTTGATAACGCGGGCACTTACAATGTATATTATGTCGGCTCTACACGTTGGCCAACATAGTGGCGAATATATTGGCAGAAAGTTGGTGACGGCGTCTACACGTTGGAAGGTCGTTCAGTTTACTTCGGTTCGGGTCAATGTGCGGATGAATTTATTTAATTTTAGACGACGGCTCCATGGCGCAGTGGTTTGGCAATGAGTGGCTGTGCCGGGGACCGCGGGTTTGAATCCCGCACGGAATAAGTATTTGTATATCCTACAAATAATTGTTTCGGGTCTGGATGTGTTTCCCTGTGCAATTTATGTTTGTAAGCTGCCTCCGCGATACAGAAGAAAATTCAAGTGTGGGGGTAACGTTTTTATAAAATAATTATAAAAGAATAGTGGATATTAATGGGGCCGTAAATAGATATATACAATTAGCTTTATTTATTCTTTACATGCATCATAAACTGGAATAAATACCATTATTAAGAACTTAACTTATTTTAAAGTTAAAGGAGTTTTAATCGATTAGTCTATGTTTTAAAATTGGGTTTTGATTTTAAAGTTTAGCAAAACATGTACTTGCTTTTCTATCAGACATTTGATGTATATAAAAACACACCTTATTATTTATTTGATAATTTAATTATTTTTTGAGAAAGGCAAAAACAATAGCAATAAATATAATTAACACTGACTTAATAATAGGTACTAATTATAACTTAGAACATAAATGAAAAACTCATGACAAGGAAAGTGGCTCAGGACCATGCTTTTCGGCAGTCTGTGGAGGAGGATGTTCAGTAGTGGACTTGTGAACAGCTGTAATGATGATGATGATTCGAAATCTTGCACGATTAAATTATAAGAAATCGACGTTTTTTAATAGGATAGGGTGACAAACGAGCACACAGTCCATCTAATGGTAAGTGGTTACTGTGACCACAGACATCTACATCTATCCTCGATTACGAATCAAAATACAGATGCGTTGTCACCCGTGAGGACTAAGGTGAAATGCCTCGTTTCCTTTAAAAAGGGTCTCTGGTTCTCTACACTCACTATATGAAACACACCTACTATTTTACGCTGATATTCTGTGAGGGCGTGGTCCCCGGTCGAGCCGACCTTCGTGCTGCAACTATACTTCTCATATAATTGCATGGTTCTACCACATATAAACTACATGCTTCATTTTTTTTTTCATTTTAAAATTGTTCTCGTAATAATCTGATTGTAAAAATACGTTAATTTTTATTTTTGATAAATAACTTATTGATTAAAACAAATGTTTAATAATAATTAAATCGCGCTAATTAAAGTAGTAGGAATGTTTAAAGTTTAAATTGGCACTAAAAGGCTGGTAATTAGGGCATCCACCCTACAAAGCTTGAATATAAAATTTAATGTGTAATCACTCTGGGAGCTTGTAGCAAACTAAACGCGCGACCAACGTGTTGACGCGGCGACCAAACTCTGCCAACAATCCTTTGATCTTTTGTAAAAAACCGACACCACACGGATCTCGCGCCAACTTGCGGGCCATCGTTCCAATACATACCAATGAAGCCCAAACACCCCGTCTACACGTTGGCCAATGCTATTGGCCACTACATTCGCCACTGTGTTGGCCAACGTGTAGAGGCGCCGTTATACATACTTCTTAATTTTTCAGTTAGCTTCCACAAAATAATAATTACGGCCTGTTCTCGTATTTGTCGTATTTTTATTTTCTTGTTGTGTCCGGTATAATATTGTATCAGTTCCAGTCAATTACAATTAAATTATATTATTTATTTAAATTATTTTGCAGATCGCTGCGGAGCACTGCAGCAAAGCAAGCGTCGAAAGAGTCGTTATGTAATTCTGAAAGGTGAGAGAAGGACTTTAATTGAACTCGAAGCGACAGTAGCCTAATGACAGGGCGCGGACCGCGAACTCATTCGAATGCGCCATTCGCTACTGTCGTGGACCACTCCTAACACAAGCATTTTAAGCTTACCAGGACTTATTCCCTTATAAATAATAAAAAATGGGACTACTCTAAACTTATTCTACCTGAACACTAATATATACTGTCGTGGGGGCTACACTGTACTACAAAATAAATAAATAACATTCGATCGATCTGTAAAATATAATATTTCGAGAACATAAAATGAAGTCCTCACAGAAGTGAGTGAGCAGCCTGTGCCCAATAGTTGCACGGGAAAATATAAAGTCTTGATATTTTGCTGAAAACATATTGGCGTTCAGGTAAGCCGACTGTCGAACCTGAATCACGCAAATCGACAGCTCCGTAGCGCAGTGGCTTAGCATTTGGCTGCTGGTGGCAGTTTCGATTGCCGCACAGAACACGATTGGTTTTTACGTTGCAACTTACATATATTTAGCATAAAAATCCAAAAACCTTGGTAGTCCAAGGATTGAAGTCGAGAAGCATGCTAACAAACGGGGTGCACGCCTCAGTGATACCAATGAAATTAGGTTAGTTAGTTAGTTAGGTTAGTTACTATTTTTCTTCTAAATTTTCTTAAAATTTTCGAGACGAAATAAATTTTTTTGGACACATATAATGCCGCGTCAGCCATATGTGGCTGACAGGATAGATTTGCTTTCAAAGTGCTGTTTGGACGTCGTTGGCCACAGTTTTCGTATTAAATTGCATGCCGATTGGCTGATAAGGTCTGGTAAATTATAACTATACTGATGGCACTGCAACTTTTACTTATATTTTGAAAAATATTAAGCTTTAAAGTACACACAAAGTAGTGATGAGAAAAATAATTGGTTTTTATACGGTTTTTTACTAAAACGAATATTTAAAATGTTTTGTTTTTAATCATATTCGATTTGGTATCAGTTTACGAATCAAATCTACATCAGTCATCATGTTCAAACATATCTGTGATCTAAATTACAATCACGGACAATCTTCGCTATAAGTTACCATTCTTTTGTTTTTATTTCTCGCATGCACTCTTCCAAATTGAGCACAGTTTTCTTTATAACATCTGATGCAATATTTTTGACGGGCAGAATCCAACCCTTGCTTCATCTTTAATTTGTGCTTTATTCGCCTAGGCCTAGCGGAGGCACGAGATTTCGAAACTCCTATGTTTATCAGGTACTCAACCAATGTAGTTCTGAACTCAACAACTGTGGGCTTCTTATTGGTTGTTAATTTATACAATATATATATATATATATATATATATATATATATATATATATATATTCCGTATATACGCCGTATTCAATAATATCTCCATTGCTAATCTCTTGGACCATTGGACTATTTTATTGTCTTGCGAAGAAGAGTCGCCATTAGAAGACATTTGATCTGATAGATCAACCGCTGATTTCGCATGGTTATAATCAAGCACGATCTTTGGTTTTATTTTTTCTTTGCCTCTTTTAACAATTCTTTTGAAACTTACAGAGTGCTTGGTGGACAGAAGGAGCACATCTCGTTTGTTCTTCCATTTCATAATTGTTATTCCTTCGTAATTTTCTTGAGCTGAAAATTCGCCTGCTTTCAGCTCGGCTTGAACGACTATTTGCGGTAAAACTCGTCTGTTTTTTCTAAGTGTGCCTAAGAGATGAGTTTGTCCTGCTAGCAATTTTCGTACCAGATCCAAGCTGGATACCAGTTGTCACACAAAGCAAGGACGACATTAGTCGGTGTAGTGTTTACACCTTCGTAGTTTTTGCCAGCATAAATCACAACAATGGCGCTGGCGGTTACAAGAAAGTCCGGGTTTCGCGCGCTTTTGAATTCAAATGGCTGACAAAATGGCTGACGCGGCCCCAATGAGAATTTTATTACAGTAGCGCCGCGTCAGACGTATGTGGCTATCACCGTTTTTTTTATTTCTTTATTTTAGTATTATAATATATAAAATGTTACAAAAACATACGTGTTAACAGAAAAAATATTGCAAGAAGACGTGATCACCGCACGCTATGAGGGAGCGCGGCGGACTCCTCCATACCCCAAACTTATTTGTCTCCAAAGATAGGAGCAATCCTTTTCATTAATAAAATTAATCAAGTCACGTAACAATTTGCCTTTATTAACTTGCCGTTTTATTTTCCTCCCCAGAATGCAAACAAGTAATTTAGAACAACGAGGTAACAAGTTGCAAGTCATTTGCAGTTTAGGAAACGAAATATTTGAGGAGAGCTGCAGTTTTTCGATTAGCGGGTGCGCTACCTTTCAAGTGAGGGCAATTAATGTGGAAAACAATAACACTCTGATCTTTGTGAGGTTTTTTAAAAACTGCCAAGAAGACGGCTTAACCTACTCCATTACTTTATCAAGCGATATACTATCCATTGTAAAAAAAACATTGGTGTCTGACGACGGTACTTGGCATTTGATTAAGGAGGGTAATCTACTGCCGGATTTAGACATCTCGATCGTCATGGATACAGTACACGTCAGCTCATTCGAAGCGCTTTACAATGATACTGAACTAACCGATTTTGAACTTCGCGGAGAAGATGGATCAGTGAAAGTACATAAAGCTGTCCTTGCAGCTTCTAGCAACGTGTTGAGGCGAATGCTCAGCGGCAGCTGGCGAGAAACTACAGAAGGTCGCGTGGACGTCCCAGGCACTTCGGTACAGACATTACAGCAATTTAAAGATTACATATATTTGCGCACGCTGCCTGATACTGGCTTAGAGCAGATCCTGCTTCTTGCTTCGTATTACATGATACCAAGTTTAGAGCAGAAATGTGTGAACAAGTTGATGAGTAGCTTGAAAGCGCAGAACGCGTGCGATCAGCTAGAGTTCGCAGTGAAACACAAATTGACCAGGCTTGTTCTAGCCATTTTTGACTGCGTCCAGAGTGGGCAGGTGGATGTTACGGAAATGCGTCAACACTTTTTGAATTATCAAGATAATATTTGTGAATAATGATTATAATCCACGTTATTTGCGTACCGTATATTATAGTACAGACCAAATACAGTAGTTAATCATTATTTCGAAGCCGCCATTTAATTATCATCATCATCATTACAGCTCTTCACGTGTCTACTGCTAAAATACAGCTCCTTCAAGGAATGCCAGAAAGCACGGTCCTAAGCCACCTGCCTTCTTCAACTTCCTGCATGTCTTACCAGGTCATCACCCCGTCTGGTGGGGACCGCCCTACACTTCGCCTACTGATATAAGGCTGCTACTCGAGAATCTTTCTTCCCCTTTGGTTGAGATATATAGCTCGAAGAACCGAAAACAAAATATATGACCGGCCTATTGCCACTTCAGCTTAGTAATCCTTTGGGCTATGTAGTGACCTCCGGACGTGCCAGCAACACGTAGGCCATCGTTTCCTCCTTCCCATACATGTACTGTACAGGGACTATCTGTAACACGTAACATAAAATGTTTGTTAAGGGAGCCATGTCCTGTAATAGCACTTGTTGCTACCCTAATCTGTGGCTTGTTCAATCTCATTAAAACCTTGGTTAAACGACTGTTTACTTCTGACAGGTCTTCCCCAACCCGCCTACAGTCCACCAGATTTTTCAAAAGCTAAGCGTGACGATTAGTAAAGCTTTTACGTACTAGTGAACGACCGTTACCAAAAGGGATCAGTATGATCGGTTCCGACCCTATAATGGCGATAGCCGATCCACTTTTGGCCAGACAGATTCACTGTCCCTTGATCCTCTGCAGAGTCACACTGTTGTGTTTATTCCAATTAAGTTTGCTGACCCTGGTAAGACCTAAGTATTTTACCTCGGAGAAACTGCTTGAGATTCACCGGCAATCTGCATAGTTCGTTAACGTTTTTGTTTACTTTCGTGTCACTCAGTGCCGGTTCAACTATATGTCTACTTAGTGCAACGTTTATGCTGGCGATTGATTGTTATCTTAAGCGATTGATAATGCCATTAACAAATCATTTTCTATCTAGGCGTTAATTTTGTGCAACTTATATGGTACGTTTCTCGATGATGTTTTTCTCAAAAGTCCTATAAACAACAAACGAACGAAGTCTCGGATGGGGGCGACTAATTCCTAAAAATAACCCCTTTGTCGTGTCTCCTCAACTTTCTGGGCACTCCTCTTGTTGCCTCAGCCAGTATCAGAATCCTCGGCGTCAACATATCGAATGACGTGCAGTTTCGTGGTCACTTGGAAGAGAAGGTCAATTTGGCCTCTAAAAAGCTTGGAGTGCTCAGCAGAGTGGGACAGTATTTAATACAGGTACACCGCCTGCAACTTTACAAGGCGTAGGTTCGGCCTCACATCAAATACTGTCCCATCTCTGGGCCGGGGCTCCCCAGTGCCAGTACCTTCCATTAAATACTCATCCAGCGCAGAGAGGTTAGAAACGTACGGCGACCGAGTTCTTTCTGATCGGCTTGACTCACAGGCGCTGCGAAGAGATGTTGCTTCTCTTTGCGTATTTTATCATATTTACCACGGGGAGAGCTCAGAAGAATTGTTCGGACCAATTCCAGGCGCTCAAATTCACCATCGCACATCGCGACAACTCAAGATACCATCCATACCATCTGGTTGATTGGCGATCCACCACTGTGCGATATACAAGAAGTTTTCTTACTCGCGCAACTTCCTTGTGGAATCAACTACCACCAGCGATTTTTCCGGACCAATACGACTTACGGACTTTCAAGAAAAGAGCCTACTCTTTTTTAAAAGGACGGCAACGTATCTGATATTACCCTAGTGTTGCAGTTATTAATGGGCGGCGGTAGTCAATTACCATCAGGTGAGCCGTGCTCTTTTTCCCTTTCTCAAATAAATAAATAATTGTTTAATATTATATACGTAATCGATTTTGTTAATTGAGTGATTCAAACAGGCTGTCAAACGGTATACGGTAGATTTAAAGACCTGACAGGTCACGGGGATATTTCCTAATTTTTTCTAAAATATTTCCAGGATGAGCATTCCATTGTATAATAATAATCAAACAGTTCACAACCAAATAGCTGATGTTACTCCGATAGCTTATAAAGGGACTTAATAAGCCATCTTTATAAGTGCATCGCTTATTCGATTTTGACGTCCAGTATGAACAGATTTAATGCATAATTTAAGCTAATGATTTTTTATATTAACGTGAATACTACACATAGAATAAAACTCATTTGATGCATCTTTATTGCGTTTATAATTAACTTATTTAAAAATCAATGTCAATAAAATCAGTTTTATCTACTTATGAGCTTATGACACAGTCAAAATCAAAATAGGCAAAAATAAGTGATAACTTAGGAAAAATTCGCATAAAGCTGAAAATTGGCAGAAACGTTAAATACATCATGTGTGTATAATTTTGTACGTCTGACCCTGAATAAATTTTTTGCAGAAGTAGGATTGAAGGGGATTTTTGACATTTTATTTATAATGATATACGAGTAATTACATACATACGTATGTATAGAGAGAACCTACAATTCAACATAAATTGAGGCAATATACTTGTCTCGCTTTTTCTTATTTAATTTTTGAATAAGGCAAAAATAGACAAATCTATTGAAAGATGTTATGTATAGCTCAAGCGTGGAAATAGAAATGTCAAATAGTCATCTTTGGTCTCTTTATACTATGCCAAATACGAGAGTAAGTACAGTCGTATTTACTAGAAAAATGACATCCCTATTGTAGTAGTATTATGTGTGACGTTACTTTGAAAGACATTACTTCTTTATAGTGATTTTGTTCACAATGTTAGTTGCACTCGACATCGATATACTCGTTTTTGTTTAGTAATTTATTTTTATTACTTCACATGCCTAAAAATATTTTGAAAAATAGGATTAGACTTATTATTATTCGAACGATCAAGTAAATTGTTTTCTAAATCAAGTGATGATGATTATTATATATCATTTCAAATATTCGTTTCACAAACTTTAAAAATTAATAATTAGGGAGGTATCAGTACTAAGTCTTGAAAGACACACGGCACATGAGCCCCCGTCTTTCATCCGCCCCGGCTTTGCACGACTGTTTTCTAGATCTCAACAACAATGCCATTTACCGGGTACAATTGAAAGTATGAGTGCATCGAAATCTGTCCAGCCTTTCTTAAGTGATGATATTTCATACATGCGGTTATAAATTTTTATTTATATACATTTACCACTTGCTTGGCGGAAAATATAAACGATCGATTATATTCAACAAAGCATTATCTGCTTGGATGAAAATATTTCTAAATCATAAATGTAAGGCAGAGTCTTGATAATGCTGTGTAGCGGCAGCTAAAAGAATTCATTACCTCCCACCAAATAATATATATTATTACTCAGAAGCTCTAAGACCCCATACCATCCCATGAGTATCGTAAAAGACTACAGAGAGAAATAATACTAGTTTTTACGGAATTTATCGCGTATATTTAACTTTTTAATTACCCGACGTTTCGAACGCTTTACAGCACTCATGGTCACGGGCAGGACTGAGATGTTCAACGTCCATATGTCATAGTTAACCGCGGTTACCATAGATTAAAATTTAACTTTTGTTCCGATCTATGCAGTATGAACTTATGGTATCTTGAAGTCTTGCAGTTGTATGCTTGGGTTGGGATTTAATTTTATTTATTATAGGATCCCAAGCAGATGGTAGCACCCAGCCATCTTCTCTATTGAAATTAGGATGTTTTTTGATTTCAATAGCCTCGCGAATCATCCTTGGAAGGAATCGGTGTTCTTTAGCGAGGATCTGCGGTCTATCAAATCTGATGTAGTGACGGGGGCGATCCTGTACGTGTTCACAGACTGCAGACTTCCCGGAGCGTCGATTCTTCACATCAGCTATATGTTCTTTAACGCGGGTTTTTTTTTAGAAAGTTTTAACGACGTTTGACTATAATTTTTGCATGGAAACATTAAATAAACGCGAAATTAGTAAATATAATGAATGCAAAAACAAACATATAGAAAAATATCAAAAATTAACGAACAAGTCAAATGTCAAACATCTGAATCAATGCCAGAACCAAAAGCAACCATTGACAAACACAGACCATAGATTAATCGCGCTCTATAATCTGTCAAAACAAACACTGGATGATGCAACAATTAAGGTTTTATCCAAAGGCCTCAACTTTGCAATTACACCCCGCAAATTACCGTACGAAGAAATTATCTGTAGTGTCGAGGACTGTTTATTTAAAAACAATATGCGGAAAGAAGATTTGGAGGCGATACGTCAAGACATCTCGTCTATGTTACGTCGATGTTCAGTGCCTAAACCGAATCTTCCCAAAGACGAATTTATAGCGTTAAAGAACCTACGCAATAAAAACGAACTTACAATTCTCCGCGCAGATAAGGGAAACGCCACGGTAGTCATGGATACGTCAGATTATAATTCTAAAATACAAGAACTTTTGTCGGATGTAAGTACTTATAAAAAAGGTTAAAAACGACCCAACAAATAGCACACTAAAAACAACTAGTGACCTCATAAAGAAACACTCCGAAAAATTAAATCTGGACGTAAAATGGATAATACCTACGTGCGCCAAATCACCAAAATTGTATGGGTTACCAAAAATACACAAGCCCAATGCTCCATTACGTCCCATAGTGAGCCAAATCGATTCACCAACTTACAGATTGGCTCAACACTTAGCGAAAATACTCTCACCACTCAGGGGACATACAAGAGCACACATAAAGGATTCCTACCATTTTGTCAGCGAGATTAAAGACCTACATCTGGCAGACAATGAAACTATGGTCAGTTTTGATGTGCAGTCATTGTTTACATGCTTACCTGTTGAAGACTGCATCTCAATTGTAACTAGAAGGCTGGAAGAAAACAACATGCCCGTAGAATATGCAGTATTACTCAGACACTGCCTTACATCTGGCTACCTATTGTGGAAGGAGGAGTTCTACAAGCAAGTAGATGGTGTGGCGATG